TAGTTATACTGAAAATCATGCATTTATAAGCGTCATACTAAAGAAAACTTAGCCAGTTGTAGTTATGTGTGTGTAGACACACATACACACACACTCTCTCTCCCCCACCTTTCTCTTTCTTTCCTTTCTCCCTCTTTCTCTTTTTTTCACTCATTCACACACACACACACACACACACACACACACACACACGGCGGGGGGATAATGTAATAGCAATAATCACTGCAAAAGAGGTCATGTATTTAAGAGGGAGGAAGGCGATAAGGGAGGGGACATGGACGGGATTGGAGGGAGAATGGAAGGGGAATGTAGCACAGATTCTAACTGGTCTAATTTAGATATTAGGAGGTGAAAGATATTAGGGGGTGAAAGCTAAGAGATCAGAGAAGCAGTGCAGCCAGCCTTTTACTGCTATCAATGCTCAAATCAAAGGGGCGATCCTGTCCTCAGACTGCCTCCTCAGACTGCTTTAGACTACAACTCAGACTGCATCCTGGGACAGCACTGAGCTCTTGTCTCCTCCTGCCTTATATTCCTCTCTCTGCCCAGCCTTATCAGTCCTATCTCCACCTACCTAGTGCTGGGATTAAAGGCATGAGATCCCAAGTTCTGGGATCACCTTTGTGTGAGCTCTGTTTCTCTTTTAGAAAGATTCAATCTTGTGTAGCCCAGGGTAGCCTTGAACTAATAGAGATTCCTCTGTTTCTATTTCCCTAGTACTGAGATTAAAGCTATGTGTTGCCACTGCCTGGTCTCTGGTAACTTAGCTCTGTACTCTGTTCTTCAGGCAAGCTTTATTTATTAAAACACAAACAAAATATCACTACAGGGGCAAACTGAATTGGTGTGGGATTTCCTTCTGTATGCTATGATTACCATTGGTTAATAAAGACACTCGTTGAGCCTATAGCAGAGCTATAAGGGATCAGAGCTAGGCGGGGAAAACTAAACTCAATGCTGGGAAAAAGAAGGGCAGAGTCAGAGACAAGCCATGGAGCTCCTCCAGAGCTAGATGGGACAGTGATGTGGCAGGAACCCACAATAAACTGAATCCTGAAGAAAGGCGGTTGCATGTATTAGGGTTTGTTTTGTTTTAAAACAGACTTACAAAAACATTTTAAAGTTATTATGTACATGGGAGTTCAGTATGGATTTATCTTATAGGTTCTTTTTACCACATTCCAGGGCTCACAACCTCATCACAGCAACCACTGAGGCTTTGCTTGTGACATCTTTGCTTCATTTTCTCAACTACGTGCAAAGTAATATGATTTTTTCAAACTATATAGGCAAGGGTACCCATTTCTGACGAACTCTGCGTTACCTATGGGAGTAAAAAAGAACAGGTAATTCATATCTCATTGTGGGATTTTAGTCAATAGATGAATGCAAGGATCAAGTTGAAAGAAAGGGAAAAAGGCAGAAGAGATGGAGAGGAAGGACAGAGAAAGAAAACATGGAAGGTATTGGAAGAACACTTATTTCCTGAGCATGAAGCCACTCTGAAGAGATCATGAGCTGCAAATTAAACAATTCTTCAGCAAGAATTTTGACAAGGAAATTTCATTAGGGATTTAAATCTCGATGGAAGCTCAAGTTGCTGCACTAAGATATGAAAATTGTGCAAATATTGTTCCTGAGAATGATGTTTGCCGCAGGTCATTGAGTTTCAGTCAATGAAATTTAGAGTGATAAATGTCCTGTTGAAAATAGCTAGCAGAGGAAAGGTTCCAGGAGAGGGAGAAAAGAGCCCATCAGTTGGAAGCTTGGGCCCTTAAGTCATTTGGAAGAGAGTTGAGACTTGGGTATTAACTGGCTATGTGACCTTGAGTTAGTGTGTTTTGCATCTCTGCAGTCTAATTTCCACATCCATAAAATGTGAGCAATTTCCAATGCGCTCCCCACTAGTCTGTGATTGTGAAGATTTAATGAAATAATTCAGTCAAAGCCTTTTGGCACAGTTCCTAGCATGCAGAACATCGAACTGCAGACTCATAATGGTAACAATGAAGATAAGGGAGTGGGCTAGAAATCTTCTCGGCGATGGTGTTCTCCATCTCTATGTTATACCAAAATCTCCCATGATGCCTTTACTCAGATGAAAATTATGTGACTTAGAAACTGAATACATGTGCCATGGTGTATATGGGTAAGCAAAAGTTTTACCTAATAAATCTCAGTGTTTTTGTGCAACCATATTATTTTTCCTCATTGGTTGGAGGGTTCTCAGAGTTAAAATCCCATTGTATTGACATAATTTGGTGGGTTAACAACTTTGTAGTTACCCAGAAAAGGCTGGTGGAATGAATTAATGATCTCAGAAATAAATGCATATATGGATGAATATGTAAAATAATATATGACTCGTGGTCTTATCTATAGATTCTTTTTTTTTCTGGTTTTTCAAGACAGGGTTTCACTGTGTAGCTTTGGAGCTTGTCCTGGAACTAGCTCTTGTAGACCAGGCTGGCCTCCAACTCATAGAAATCCGCCTGCCTCTGCTTCCCGAGTGCTGGGATTAAAGGCGTGCGCCACCACCTCCTGGCATATCTATAGATTTTTTTAATGTGTGAAAATCCCTAATTTTGATTTCAAGAAATTCTAACATTTTGACTCTTACAGACATATTCATTTTTACAGAAACATTGAGTAACAGGAAAATGAGTTTATATAATTCTATAACCCAAAACCCCTTGAGCAGAGCACTGTATTTATTTTCTAACCATATCTCTCAGAATGTTCATTTTTGCAGTCCTACGTAATTAAATTTCTGTTTCCTGGTGTCATATGATCGAAACATTTGAGGCATCTGCCATTCTGGAGGAAAACAAGGTATGAGCTGTTTTAAAGAGAAGGCTATTGTGAGTTATGCCTAGGATTTCCTTTCCCACTGCTGCTGCATGAAATAAAGATGTGACCCTTAATCTTAGCCATGAAGGCTCCTAGGGAATTTTTTTTTCCTCTGAAAAACACATAGTCACTAATGTGGGTCACATACTTTCAACATCTGCACTGAACTAAAATTTGCCTCTGCAACTTGAAAGTGTCTGTCATTATCCTCATTGAATTAAATTTCTGCATCCAATGGGATCACAAAATTTGCGTGGGTGATTTAAAGAGCAATTATTTTACCTACTTTGTATCATATACAAGGCCTTGCCTAGAATTCTGTACTTGATAAATATTTTAAAGCTACATATAAAGTTCTGCACTTTTGGAAGAGAAGCTGGTGAGACAGTGGTGGCTATAGTAATAGTAATAGTAATATCTGAGATAATAGTAATATCTGAGATAACCATCAATGAGATAACTTAGTGAGGAAAGGCCCTTGCCACAATGCCTGACCACCCAACTTCACTCAGCAGGGCTAACATGGTCTAACTGACTTCCTTAGGTTTTCTTATGTCCTTCAGAGGTGCACCGTGGTATAGCATGCATGTGTGTACAGGAAGACATGCATGTGCATGTATGTAAACACACACATACACAGAAGAAAACATATATACTTAATTTGGGAAAATGTATTAAAAAGAAGGAAAGGAGAAAAGTAGGTGAGAAAATGAGAATACAGAAAGAGAGAAAGAATGAAGAATGAAATACAAGCTAGACACTTAGGAAAACAGCTTTGTGTGGGGCGGAGAAAACAAATTGCCAAGCTCATCTTTTATGTAAGCTTCCCAATGCTCCAAATGTATGTATGTATCCAAGACCAACAAAAGAGCTTTAGACACCAAAAAGCTTCAGCTCAACAAGTCGCCACAACTACAAAATGAAGGAAATACAGACAGACCCCCCTAACACCATGATCTTTTGATTAGTTCTAGAGAATAGCACTTCACATTTCACAGAAGAGAGATCTGGACTGGTCTCTAGCCTCTTAGTGCAACCTTCACACTCCTCAAGTGGAGGTAAGTTTGCAAAGAATGACAAGGTGAATTCCTTCCCGAGATAAAACACATTTAAGTGAAATTAAAGGAACAACACCCTTTCTTTAAATAAGTTTCCATTTAGCCAGACAATTTGGCTAGAAATTTATGGGACAAGTTGATACATACAATGCAAAAAGATATTGAAGACAGCCAGACATGTTCTTTGTGTTCTAAAACACAGGTGGACTGAGAAGCTAGCTATAGTCAATATAAAATCCTTTCTAAAATCCCCATGATTCGTGTTAGATATATAAAACCATAATATTGTTATTACAGTTTAGAAAGGCATGCTATTATCCTCATTGAACTAAATTTTTGAGTCCATCAAAATCTTTCTTTAGTGATGATTCAATTGTAACAGCCGTGGAAAGAGCAAAATAATCACCACAGCCGAAGTAAAATCTTTACTTTTAGCCCAAACTGGTCATTTTCACAAAGAAATTTACCTTTAAATTCATATACCAACTGAATCTAATAACCAACAGTACTTGAGGTTATAAAAATTTGTTCTTCTTTCATGGATTCAAAATAATAATTTTGTTAGTATTATAATCCCTGATATGAAAATAGTGTGGTCAGACAGGAGCTGAGTTTTTGCAGTTTGTTTCAAAACATCTTAAGTAATTTCATTACACATATTTTCTTCTTTCAGTAAGGTAAATGTTAATAAGTTCACCATTATCACAAATTACCAGACAAATTCTCAGAAGCAATATGAAAATGCAGTTTCATAACATTCTTTAGAGAAATGATGAGCTTTTTTCTCTATAGCCTTCTTTGTGCAACGGAGTGATATTAGGAGCCAGCCTGGGTCCTACGACAGGCAGTTGCCTGCAGTTGGTTCTCAGCAGAGCTGCAGGCTGGCTTTAAGGTAAAGGCTAAGTCTCACATGGGAGAGGAACTAGACTGAGTTAATCACGGTTGTGCTTTGAGCATGGACACCTCCCCACTTTCTAATAGCGGGGTTTAGAGACACAGAAGTGAAACATAACCTTCAGCGGGATTGAGACCTTCACTCAGGCAAGACCACCTATAACATCCCATTACAGAGAAGAAAAAGGTTTGACCTACTTGGATCCGACAAGATGGAGTCTGTTTTCGGCAGAAATTGATCACAACGGACTCCTTGGTAGCCTTCCTTGCACCTGAGAAAAGGGGATAAATGACAAATGTATGCATGTGGTTGAGAAAGACTTGAGACGTCATCAAGCAGACTTAACATTGACAGTGAGGGGAGAACAGTCTACTTGGCCTTCCGAATTTGACTCAGCCTGTTTCCAACAGCCATGGGCAGATTCTAGATTCCAATTTTGCTCAATACAAACAAATACACAAAAACACCCAGAGGAACACAGATTTACAGTTATAGCTGTAAATGCCACACTCAAAGAACAAATGCACCAACATCTCAGATGCCTCTCTCAACAGTGTGGATGGTGGTTATCCTATACGGCTGGCACCAGGTGCACACTGTGTTATTCAGTACCCTGGGATCTAAATGCATTCAGACCCATTTTGCAAGCCTCGAGTTTCTTACAGCACACATTTTATAGCATTATACATCAGTTACAGATTTAGGTTTTCTGTATTGTTTCCTTGTACTTTCTTGGTTTTCTTCTTTGCTCATTTCACTTTTTTGAATCTGGTCCCCTTTCTGTCAGTCACTTCCTTGTCAGAAATATCAACATAGCACCTGGCAGGGTCTAAGGGTCACCTACGTCTTCCTGTTTGCTCCTTTATATTTAGAAAACATATACAAAGGCAACTGTCTTGAGAGCGTACATTGCTGAACTAGGCACACTCTGGAAGCTTTAGTAACGAGGCACATCCAATCCCTGAGTCCTACTTGCTATGCTTGGCTCAATCAATTATGTCTGCTTGACCAGCTCGGACAACTGCAACACGTCTACAGCCGGTTCAAACTACAAATGTAACTAAGGCCCCACACACGGCCTGGGTAGAGTCTCTTTACGTGGGAAGGTAGTATTTGCTGGTCTTGGTGAGGCCTTAATCCGTCATACTTGAACAAAGCAGAGAAATCACCATTGTCACCTGAGGAATTCTCTCCTACTTACAGAGGGAAAAAAATGGGCTGCTGACATGAAACTCAGGTTTGAAAAACAACCATCTGCTTGTTAGAAATCTACGAAATTGACACAAGTATTCAAAGAGATGGTCCCACAGGCCCTAGCAAGAAGGGCTGTGAGTTCTTCACATGGAGTAGTCTTTGCTTCCTGAGTATGAGTGAGGAAGTATTAGGTGAGGCTTACTGTAACAGGGGTCGCAACACTGAAGGCCCACAGGCCATTTTCTACCTTTCATTTTGAGCTAAGTTGGAATGCCAGGCTCTCTTCAACACCTTTTTAAAACACGGCACCTCCAGATATATTTGGTGATTGTCCCCTCATAGTCTAAGAACAAAGACTCCTACTATGTGTGTACAGATAGCACAGAAATCACAGTTGCCTACGAATTTATTTGTGCAAATCCTTGTCTTCACCTCTTTAAAAACAAAATACCTATTGTGCGTGAAATAAAATAGGCGAAATAGGTTTTCTAATGGTAAACATTCGGCCAGAGGATACTTAGGGCAGAAACATATTTGTGACAAATGAGATAAGGTTCTGTTTCCTGAGAGCTGCCCTGATGCTGCTCTTCATCCTCATCTAGAACTCTCCATGCCACGGAGCGGAGCTTCGGTCCTCATTCTCCGTGACTGTGAATCATGCCCTGCACGTGTGATCAGGCACATACACTTTCTAAAGGTGTCATTTCTAGTCCATGCAGGTCTTAAGTACCCTTTAACTGCTCCTATGTTTATTTCATGTGAAAACACCATCCCGGGAGGAGGAGAGGGAGCTTTTCAATGGAAATACTGTTTATGTTTTGTTTGTTTGCTTGCTTGTTTGTTTGCTTTGCTTTTTACAGGTTCCTTGTTACTTAAAACATATTATTCCATTTGTGTGTGGAAAACAAAATAAAGACAGAAGTGTGAAATTTTTCCAACCGTATATGGCTTGACCATCATTCAGAGCCCACCTTAGAGTGTTAGGCCTGGGAGTGGGGGATTAGGAAAATTGTAAAGTGAGTCTTTTCCAGGTGTCTTCACACCTGCAGGCTTCAGATAATAGAGCTTGATGGTGGTGTAGCAGCCTTGTTCATGCTAGGGAGCCCAGCACTTGCCTCAAAACAGCCACTTACGCAGCCATGCAGCAAGCGCTGCTCTGTTGGGAGAGATGAGCAAGCCACTGCTAATTGGTTCGAGGGTTTGAAAAACAACACATAAATTTCTCATTTAAAAATCACACATACTTTACCTTGCTACATTCAGACTTAGCCAAACATGAAGATGGACTATTACCACAGACTGCTGATGACTTGGTTCTGTAACTGTATTAAAGCGTGGGAGGTGGGGGGAGCATGTCTTCAAACGCATTTCTATCGCACGAGTGAGTCCGATGGCCCTTCTCTTGGGGTGATAACTGACAATACTGTGCGGTTTGCTTCTGTTTCAGTTAGTTTGAAAGATGGCAAGAGTTACTGTTTTCTTTTTGGAAAACACAGTGTAAAGTACAAGAGGGAGATTTATCCCCAGAATATTGATTTCATCTTATGTGTGGCGTAATGAATGGCATAGAAGAGTGCATGCATAATGTTTAACGGTAAATGTGGCTTTCTTTAAAAAAAAAGTACAAATCTTGTCTTAGCTGGCTTAAGAATCTGTTTACTTTGCTCTCTGCTTTTATCTGAAAGTCACTCTGTTCACCTATTCTCTGCATTCCTTTGTCTTTTAGAAACCTGCATCATAGCCACAATATTAAAAAAAAACACAATATTGTTCTGTCCTTTCACAAGCAAGTTTTGATTCTGCAAACTCAGGCAGGAAACAGCAAGGGCTGACGAAAGGTTTCATGAAGAAAATGAAAGAATTATTACCAACTATGAAATAACCACAAGACAAAGTTGGTTTGCAAGAGCTGAGACATTTTCCTGTAGGCAAAATTAGCCTCAAATTCCTTGTGTATACTTTGAGCCGAAGGGGTTGTGTCTTTAAATAAAGTCCCAGTGTGCTTTATTTCCCAGTACAAAAAGTCAGAAGCAGGAGGAACACGAGGTGACACTTGAAGCCAAGTAGGGCAGGAACTATGATTGTTCCACTGACAATGGTGGACACGGAGTGAGGAGAGGGATGGGGAATCCGCAGTCCTGGCTGCCAGTCTAGCCAATAGTGAGCCTAGCTACCACGTTACACTCATGTTCCCAGAGGGCAAGACTGATTAACTTCAAATGGACATGACTGTTCTTCCTCATGTCTTCTCAGATTTGCGTTATTCTCCTTCCCACATGTCCATTTGATCTGAAATAAGTGGCATCCTTATGGATCAGTTTTCTCTTCTTTTCATTACCCCTGAGGCAAAACCCAGTGGCTGCTTCTAGGGGAAAAAAATAATAATCAGTAGCCAAAGGAAGAGTCATGGATACCAGCCATTATCTTTGGCTAGAGTTCAGTACTTGCTTTGTGTGGCACAGTGAAACAGAAATGATCAGTATATCAAAACTGCATGTGGAAGGATCCGAAAGGAAAGACTTTTAAATAGTCCAGTTGGTACACGTTCAATGTCTCTTGACCATATAGGCAGGACAGTGAATTGCAATGAGTGTAGCGATTCCTATTCATTGAAGGGGCCAAGGAATACGTGATGGTACAGTGTTCAGTCCTAAATGGGATATGGATAACATGCTAAGTCTCAAGGAACAATTCAGAAACAGGAGCAGAAAGAATGAGAACACGAAGATAGGGAGAAGTGTAGTTGAGTACTGACATCAGAGCATGACACAGACAATTCAAAGTGATCTCAGAGCAGATGCAACTCCCTTCATTGGGCCAGAACAAGACTGGCTCTGGCAACAGCCAATAATGGATCAGGGAAGGGATCTCCAAGCCGCTCCCTCCCTGATGAACTATTGGCTATCAATACTCTCATGAGGAGTAGCAGTAACCAGTTTCAATTCTATAACCAAAGGTGCGCCATTTGGCTCTAATGATTAGATTCAAATCTATGGTCTCAGAACTGGTCCCGATAATAATCCATAGGTCATAAAGCAAAGAGGCACATGAATGTTTTGGAGGTTGGAGGGTGGATAACAGGTGTGGGAGGGAGATAAAAAAGAGTAGTGGGTAGAAATAACCAGAATGCAGTATATATATAAACTTATCATAGAACATATTTAATTGATAAAAAAGCAGTTTGGCCATGTGTTTATGTTCATCGGGAGCTGTCATCTTTGCTTGGCTTAATGAAATTCTTGCAGCCAACAACCCAAGTACTAACATCATTTCACCTCTTTCTTATAGTTCTCCTGCAACAGTTTACTTGTTTGAGTCAATGATTTTTGTAAATTATTGTGGATAAAGCTGAATAATCCACAGGTGTCATTAAAAGGTATCTAATGTTTCCAGACTTTTACTTTCAACATCTTGATAGAATAGTTTAATTTAACATAAAATATCAGTTATGTGAAATACATTTTGACTTTTTCTTCATCCTTAATTTTCTCATTATTTAGTGGAAGGTGTTACTGCTCACTTGGCTTACTCTCTCAATGTTCTCTGTCTTCTTGCTCACATATGACTTAATTACATTCACAGATGGTCTATCCAGCACATGGTCTCCACAACCCATCTTCCTCATTCACATCACAATTAGTAAAAACATCGGTTTCTATCCTGATGTTTAACTTAGTCTTCGTGTGTGTGTGTGTGTGTGTGTGTGTGTGTGTGTGTGTGTGTGTTTATTTCAATAGAGAGTTTCTCTGTGTAACATTCTTGGCTGTCCTGGAACTTTCTTTGTAGACCAAGTTAGTTTTGATCTCACAGAGGTCTGTCTGCCTCTGCCTTCTACAGCAGTACTGGTGGGCAGAGAGAACAGGAAAGCCAGCTCTCCAGTTGGAAGCCAGCTAGCCAGACAAGGAGGAAGCAGGATGGACAGTCAATCTTAGATGAAATAGCAAGCCTTGGGGCAACACATAGATTAATAGAAATGGATTGGAAAAAAAAACTAACTAGAAACAAGCCTAAGCTAAGTCCAAGCATTGATAACTAATAATAAATCTCTGTGTCCTGATTTGGGGCTTGTGGTCCAAG